AAAAAAAATGACTGTAGCTGTAATAACTATATGTTTATTTGTTTTTAATTGTGTCGCTCTTTGATGACCATTTATGAAACCTGCATTTTCGTCTTTCATTCTTACGTACGTCTAGCAATTTACAGAACTCAAATTATATATATGAATAAAAGGAGTTGTCGGTTTTATTTACGTCAATAATACAGCAAACAAACCACAAAAAAAAACCAAAAAAAAACAAAAAGACATCTAGAGGGCAAAGTGAAATTTTCGGCTTGCAGTACTAGTACAAACTATAAGTATAAGTATAAAGAACAGTTATATTATAACTATACCACGTCAAAAGTTCTCTCGTTTATTTCATTCCATAGTAGAGTGAAATGACTTACTTTCATTTGACCTTTAAAGAGGCAGAATTAGTTGACACAAATTTTGAAACTTATGATAAACAAGAAATCACAGCTTATTAGTGTTAGTGTACCGGAAACGAAGGTAACAACCTATCTGGTAAGTTATACCATCCAAGGACGTATATTATAGTTATACGAAATACAATATTTACATTTCTTTACGGTCCTATGTTTTATATATAACGGTCTTTCTATATTTAAATGAGATAGGGTAATACCCATTGAATTCCTTTCTGCACGGGCGATTTCGGCAGTCAGTATATAAGGAAAATTTAAGGTGTGTTAGACAATGCGACGTTCGTTACAAGATAGTAAAGGCTAGGTTAGTTTGATATACTATTCCCCTCCCACCCCATTTACCCATCTTATGTATGTAACATTATCGTTTCTTTTCGACTTGTGTATGGTAAAAAAATATGCCTTTTTGTATGGCTGATTGTATATATTTATGTTGAACATGTTAAATTCGGTAAACGGACAGAAAGTCACAGGACAAAAAGTCACAGGACATAAAGTCACAAATTTGATAGGACAAAAAGTCACAGGACAAAAAGTCACAAATAATTTGTTGACAATTGTTTGAATATATAAGAGAAAGATCTTGAAATATTTTCTTTTTATTACATATATTCATTTTTAAGTTTAGGAAATTGTTCATAAGCCTTGATAAATGAATTTTTTAAAAAATTTTAATCATGCAAAGGATATATTTCTTGGCACAATGAAACCATTTAAGTACCAAGCCACGTTGACATTTTGTTTTCATAACAATTATATGATCATTATTGATATTTATTGAATAAATTTTAATTACAAAGTTACTTCAATTATAATAGTTCAAGAAAAAATAAAAATTTTATTTTCTAAATTAGTGTTTTCTTGTTTAAAGAAAAATAATCTCAAAACTGAATTGTGACTTTTTGTCCTGTGACTTTTTGTCCGTGACTTTTTGTCTGTGGCTTTTTGTCCTGTGACTTTCTGTCCTACATTTCTAAATTCAAGGCGATCTTGTAGCGAACGCACAACACTATACTGTGTTTGGTTTTTTCTACGATATCTAGTTAAGAAAAAACTTTATTATCGGAGGGGTGAAACGAGGGAGAAAATAATATGTATTGACCTATAATGGCTTACTCTTATAAATTGTATTTTGATGGAGAGTTGTCTCATTGGCACTCATACCACATCTTCCTTTATCTATTAGATACACATTAAGGGCGTTAGCCCGAATGAGTGCGTATTACTTACACCAATTGAATATTGTCAATGCAGAATGACAAATTCAATAATTTAGGACAGGGACTTTCAATACTAACTGATTCCCTGTTAAGGAGGAGATCTTTTAACAATTTGACAATATGCTATTGAAATGCATGATAAATGCAGGGTATCCAATTTATTTATCGACATCTTTGTGTAAAAAAAGATACAATATTGCTAGATAAATAGGAAACAAAAACACATTTCCTTGCATAATCTTATCTAAAATTGTTGAAAATTATCATAATTTGTGGGTATTTTTTTAACATGATACACCAAAGCCGAATTTTGTATGTTTGCATTACACCCTTGCACTGTTTGGATTAACGTATAAATTAGAAGGTAGGTTAGAAAGTCACAAAAAAAGATTTAAGAACAAAACGCCATTATATAGTTTTCCGGATAATGTTTTTTTGGCAAATATTAAAAAAAAAAATCTAAAACTTTTACATATACCGTGATAACATTTTAGGTAAACACATAGAGTTACAAATATACCAGCATACATTTTTGATAGAAAAAAAACATGCTATCAAAGATACATCAGAAATGCCTAGATCCATGCCTAAGAAATATACATCTTTTTATTGTTCACATTTATTTAACCTCCATCCAACAATGGGAAGGAACATTTGCCATAGCTGTGAAATGAATTGATTTAAAATGACTTTAAACATATTTATTTCTGTCTTGTTAATATCTTAGCATAGAATATAATCAGAATATGGTCTGTGTATAAAACAAGTATACCGCTGTAATAAAATCACTAGACAATTTATACATGTAAATATATGCTACTTCCTACAGAATTTTGTTTTGTTTTTTTAATTTTTAATTATTTTTTTGTCATTATCGTATATCTTTTTTAACCACTAAATTTGCGGTTTTGTGATATGTTCGTGCAGTTTTAACAATGTCGTCAATAGTGTTTAGAAAGAAGCTATTATAAAATGTGTCAGAACCTTAAATTACACATACATGAACGGAGCTATGATACCATGACAGGTGTACATATGATGTAATTGTGAAATAGCCATTGTAATTGCCAAGTTTTTAATAGTTTAAGGATCATTGATTGTGTTACCTTTTGATTATTGGCACGTGCCATCGCACTCAATCTTTATTGACAGAAAATATTAAATAACGAATACATTTATTACTATTAGAGGAAGAAGAAGAATTATTTGCTATAGTGCAACTTGAATAAACAAATAAATACATAATTATTTTATATTAAATACAATTGTTATTAAAATGAAAGAAAGGATTAACGCATTTACAAGCCTTAGGATATATACTCGATGCTGAACTTAAATTAGGTTGTATTGTTTTAACGGAAAGTTCTATGAGGATCTGGAGGGGGTCCTTTATTTCTGTTTTCTTTAAAAATTTTTGCCGATTTTCTCTATTCTTTAAACTTTTTGTCTTTTATTATCAATACTTTATATTCAAGCACCTTATTATTCTCTATTCTTTATTTTTTATCCACTTTCTCTATTCTTTATATTTATTGCCAATCATTCTCCATTCTGTAATCCCCCTATCAACATCTTCTTCTTTCCGATGGTATGTTATTTATAGTTTTATTGTCTCGTCACGGTCTTAGTGCAGTTTTCAGAATATTAACTGCACTCGGAGACATGATTCCCTGATGTGGCCTTAGTGACTACGCATCACTACGAAATAAAAGCAAAAAAAAAAAAAAAAGACGGTTGTCCAAATATAAAAAGAATAACACGCACGGGGAATGATTACTAAATGCCACGAAGTAATTATTAAGTTTTAGAGGAAAGTATCGAAAGATAACGAAATTAACGATAAAAATTATCTGACATAAAACATATTTGTATTTACGCTGATCGTTCCCGATGAAGTTAAATCCAGAACCGTGCTTCAGACGCAAGAAATTTATAAGGTGTTTTCACTCTTTTGTTAATGTTATGTTTAAAATTTGCAATAACTTCTTTTCAAAGAATAAGTAGATAAATACATAAATTAACATCAGAAAATAAAAAATAAAATAAAATCATAAACAGTTATATGCGAATAATTTATTTCCTCAACAAAACAAAATCACTAATCTCTTAAAAAAAGACCAACAGAAATAAAAAGTCAACCAATGATTTTATGTTAAATTATTAAAAATATACGTTTTTCATTCCAGCATTTATATTGTAAATTTTTTGTAATTAAAATGTATCATCCACATGAAGGGGCGTAACTCCTAATATCATTCTGACACACTAAACGGATCTTAACCCGATCTGAAAATTTTGAACATTAGTTTTTATGTTTGGTCTGAATTCGTCTAAAACCGTCTTAACATATCTTGTTTAACAGCTAGAGCCTTCTGTCTTGTTTATCTTGACATGAATGAACGGACTGAACACGACATATCTGAACAGCGTCTGAAAGTCTTAAAAAGTCTTAACGTTTTTCCCTAGCGGTAAATTCAGTCGATTAAGACTTGATCAGACCAAAATGACCGTTTCAGACTGAAATCTTGCTACTAGTGGTGGTATGGTCTTATGTTGCCTCCATTTAAAAATTTATTTTGCGATTTGTAAAAATTGCGGGTTCAGCAAAATCTGAATACAGATATGTATCATATATCAGAATGTGAGTTCTTATTATTGCAATACTCACCACATCGCATAATTCGCAATAATTAAAACCTCGCAATAAATTCTGAATTTACAGTATCAGACAGCAATCAAAACACCCACTGGATTACAGGCTTCTGACTTGAAACATTCACATACAGAATATGGCAAGATAAACATGTTTGTGAGCCTTTAACTCTCTCCCTCACCTGGAACAGTGGCAGCAACATATTGAACATAAGAACAAACACTACAAATCAGTTGTAAATGGCTTGACTCATTAGATTGACATGAAGCAACAACAAAAAACAACCTATAAACCTTTGTTCGGGTTGTTGTCTCTTTGACACATTCCCCATTTCCATTCTCAATTTTATTAAAGACAAAAGACACAAAGCACCAATCTAGGAGTACTCAGAGTTATTGAAAGCTAGTTCAAAGCAAATAACAAAGGACCAATCTAGGAGTACTCAGAGTTATTGAAAGCTAGTTCAAAGCAAATAACAAAGGACCAATCTAGGAGAACTCAGAGTTATTGAAAGCTAGTTCAAAGCAAATAACAAAGGACCAATCTAGGAGTACTCAGAGTTATTGAAAGCTAGTTTAAAGCAAATAGCAAATATAAAATAAATCATGTTCTCCCATACTAACCCAGATATAGTCCAGGATATTGGAATTTAATTACTTTCAGAATACAGGCTATTAGTTTATCATAATTGATATATTACTTTGTTAAATTTGTTTACAGCAAGGTATAAGTGGAGATAGTATTCAGGCTATACACGTATCTTCTGACTCGGACCTGAGAACAGAAATAGCTGTTTTGAGAGAACAGGTAAATTTTACCTTAAGAGGCCTCTGGTATTTAAAAGCTTAAATTTGTGATAGTTACTATTTCAATGCGATATAGAATACCGTAGTACCTATAAAATAAATGAATAACCGACCCAACATTAGTCACACTTTAATTTTGGAACATATGATTCAGAAGCTTTCAATATTTAGGAGTTTTCATAAACATTTAAAAATGATGACTAGATATTATTATGAATTTTATGTTATGCTTGTGAAATATCATTTTGTATACAACTTGTTGAAAATATCTTAAACATGTAACAAGTCTGCAGTATTTTTAACGTAGTGTGGCAAAAATTGCGTTAAAGGCCCATTGCTGTACAGCATTTGCACAAAATGTGAAGTTCAGTTTACAATTGGATTGGGGTGGGGGATATGTTTTCTGGTCGGTGCATCTGTCATTCTGTCTATCCTATATTTAAATATTTGGTTGTGGTCACATCAACATGAAACCTGGTACACAAGTTCATTATCATGTGAACTTTTAAGATTATATGTCACATAAGGGATTAAACTTCAATCTCACAGTTAACTGAATATAGAAATATAGCGTGAGCGGAGTATGGTGTCATATGGACACAGATTCTTGATATTAAAATTCATGTGTAACATATGTAAAGATTCTTCTTTTTGCAGCTTACAGTTTTCCAGGAGGATTTCGATAGAGAGAGAAGCGATCGAGCTAAGGCTCAGTCAGAAAAAGATGACATAAATAAACAATTAGGAAAACTCAGAACAGAAAATCATAAGCTTCTTGATCAGAATAAAAGATATCAATCTCAGGTAATTGTATAATGTCAATTCACCAAAAAAAGATTTGTGTGCAATTGTTAAACAATAGTAAAAAAGTTTATCTTTCTGACTAATACCACTATTATTACTTTATTATTTTGATGATAATTAACAATAGGCAAGTTACATAAGACTTAAATTAATGTCTGTTGCACATGATGTTCATGTAAATGTTTACTGAAATAACTTGTTAATATACTGTGGATTCATGAGGTTCTATAAGCTTGTTTGCAGAATTTGACAAAACCATGAAATCAAGTATCGGTGAAAATAATTTTTTTCTTCAAACCAAAAATAATTAAAATTTTAGTTTCATATCTTTAGTATGTTAAAGCTTTATCAAAATAGAAAAACCACATAGCTCATAATGTGATCAATTAAGGCAATTGTACCATGTACTGTTCCTGAGTTATATCCAGTGTTTTGTGTTCTTTCCATTTTACAATGGCATTAAGGAGTAAGAGCAAAGACCTGTTGGCTCTGAGTCAAAATAATGTGTCCAGGTAGGGAGACATATCTTCCTGCGGACTGTAACTTCGTGAACCAGCATGTTAAAAATCCAGCTAAGCGTTTCTGTCTAGTAATAAGCAGGATTAATATTCATATCATATTTACATATTCTCATCCTGAAAATGCTTTTAATTTGCCACTGGACGTAAAATAGCCATCCATCATCATCATCCATTTTACAAATTGCTGGAATTCCGAATCGGTTGGGATTGGGATTTCTTTGTCCATGACAATTTTTTTGTAGAGCTAGATGCTTTCACTGTTCCATGTGTATAAATGATAAAAAGTCATTTACAAGGCAATAATTATTTAACTAGTTTGTTAAATTAAGGATCAATAGAATAAAACAAACAAACGAAAACTATCTACTAGCAAGGTGTGCTTCCAATATTTTTAAGCAATAAAAATGCATATATGAAATAAATCTATAATTTTTTTTTAAATGAAACTCCATAGTAATTTGAAAAAAATTATTAACCTTATATACTGAAATTAAAGAGTATGTAAATAAAGAAAGTTGGAAAAATTGTAGAAAAAATAATAAATGACAGATAGAATAATTCAACAACAAAAAAGCTTGACATGAAAATTTTCTTTATAGCTTCAAACTGCAGAAGTTAATGTTAAAGAAGCCATTGAAGAGAGCACTAGACTTAATAGTGCCAATGTTGAACTCAGAAATAAAGTGAGTTAACGTAACACTGAGTGACATTTTTTAAATATATATTATACATATTATTTACATTATATGAAATTTCTGCATCTTTATATACTTTTTAGTAAAAAAATAGGTCTTTTTGACAGTAAAATTATGTAAAAGGACGACATTTTGTTTTTTCATTAAACTGTTCCCACCATTATTTGACATTGTCTATGCAAAATAAACCTGGTGATCATGTGATCAAAATTGTACAGGTAAACACAGGGAATTAAAGATTATAAAATCAATAGAGTGACGATTTGATTGGATAGAGCTGTGCTTTGTGCAATAGCAGAGCAATGAAATGCATTAGCGCTGAATATCACAGTGCTTAAATGGCCTGGGGAGAAAGTAGTTGGTTCCCTAACTTATAATTTTGGCCCTTAAAATATGAAAATTTTTCACTGTGATAATGTAGTGAAAACTTGATTTAAACATGTGTTAAAATGTCTAATTGTTTCAGTTAAAACATATTTTCACCAATTGCATCATTAGTGACGTAATTGTGACATCATAACGAAGGGGAATTTCGTAAAAATCAAGATTTTTTGCAGAATTCTGCAAAATTTATGACAGTTTTCTGAAAAATTAACAGTGGCGCCACCCTTCGCCCAAATATATTTTTGCTGAAATATTCTTATATACCATATTTTCTTTTCAATAAAAATTTCAATGGACGAGGGTTGGCGCACCATACAAAATCATGAAAAAAGGTGGAAAAATTGACAAAATTCTAGAAAAATGGACGAAAATGAAATCTGTTCCTATTTCAGGCAAATATATTATAAATATGAAGCAAATATACAATTTTCTTTTTATACTTTTAAATATCATACATTTAGCAATGCATATCCATTAGAGTTACTTTAATAATTTAGGTTAAAAAAAATATGTTTACAGGGCCGTTTTTTGGGGTTCCTGGCTCTACTCCTTTGTAAACCAATCATATTATCATATTTTTATTCATTATTATTATGATTCATTGTAATTGGAGTAAATAATGATTATAATACTTCTTTGTGAAGCAAATACAATATTTTAAAGATTTAATTGGTTTCATGTTTCCATTGATCTTGGTATTTTTTATTTCTGCAAATGAAATAAATCTAGTGAGTAAGACATTTCTTTTGAGTTATAATTGTCCATGATATATTATAGACAACCTTCAAATTCATGCACTATTTCGTACATTTCCTATGTCACAATGCTTATGTTATTATGTCACAGTAAGAACCAAATGTTCAATGACCTTGAGTCAAACGGTATAATTCATTCATAAAAAACACCTTGAGATTAGTCTATTATACTTATTTGAATATTTGATTTGATACTACTAGTGCTTGCTTGTCTTAAATTTAATAGAACTTTTCTCCTATTTTGGACTCTGTGACTCTTAACCATGATATTTGCAATACATGACCTACTAATATATGCTTTTGTTGTGTTCTGTCAGAGAATATCTTTTTTGAAGTCAGAGTCTTACAAGAATATGTGTTAATTCCAGTCAAGACTGACATTTTACTGTAAATTCAGAAGTTAATGCATGTAATTATTATTGTGAATCTTTGACCCCTGATAAAAATGCAAAATCTAATTAATGTGATTGCAAAAATATTATGAAGAAAAATTACTACTGAAATTATGAAATGCGAGTTTTTATTATTTGGAACCTGATACTGTCACATATTTTGCATTTATAAAAACATCGCAAAATTTTCTGAATTAACAGTATTGTGTAAAAAGGAAATTTTAGAAAATGCAATATTAAGGATAAAGAAAAATGGCTGCTGTATGATATTTTTCAGTCTTTTAAACACAGAAAACTTTCTTTTTTTAAACAAAGTCTCTGCATCATTGGGTACTGAATTTCCTAAGTAATTGTAACTAAGCACAGATCTAGATGAATGACAGCTGAATCAGAGCTTCATAAAATCTAAGATATCCAACATAAATATGGCGGCTCTAAAAATATTGAGAGATATCTTGAGCTGCAATGTTTCAACATTGTATGTTCTTAATTCTTTTGTGTCACAATTAAACATTGAGTTGATGTTCTAATCTTCTTTTGAAACACGAGATATGTATGAACATTTAAATGGAAGTTTTGTAACCTTTATTCTTTTATGCATGAGATATTGGTTGACATTTGAATGAAGATTTTTTTTTTATGCTTTTTCTTTTGAACACAATACATGGGTTAATATTTTAGAGATGGTTATATATTCCGAGCTCTTTTGAATGTCTTAAAGGAATTAATGTTTGATTTTTATAACCTTAAAAAAAACTTCAAGTTCTAATCATAATTATCTTATTACAGATTTCTGTAGGAACTTGATAACTTTTTTTCAGGTTCGTCAGTTGGAAAGTCAACTTTTATCACAACAAGCACCTCCAACATTTACACCAAATATCACATCGACAAGACCTCAGCATTCATGGATGGTACAACCAGAGACTGATCCATATGCTAGGCCATCACCTCCTTATATGTTCCACCAAAATCAAGTTGGACCAGGTATTAGACAAAGCATTCCTTTATCACAAAAATCAAAAATAGAAAATATATTATATAACGATAACATTATTAAGGCCCTGATGACTCAAGTAAACAGTTGTAAAGGCAATACACAAGGGTAATGTTAAATATGTATATACTTTTAAAGTTTGCTTGACACATAAAGTGAATATTCAAAGGGAAACATTATTCACAATACAAAAGAACAGTTGTTTTACATGAAGAATTTAATTTTAGTTATAAAAATATTTCACTTGCATAACCTGTTAGGTCAATGAAAAATTAAAAACCTGGCACAAACCATACCCCTCAAAAAAGCCAACAACAAAACTGTAATATGTCTCTATTGATAATGAGAAATAATTAAAAAAGGGTAACTTTTACATCAATTGGTATCTGATGGAGAGTTGTTTCATTGGCAATCATACCACATCTTCTTATTTTTAAATAGATTTTCAGATATATTGAAACCCTGTTCTTACATAAACAAATACTTTACTGAGATATGTTCTGCATTATGAAAAATATGGTAAAAAATCTGTTACCATTCATTTTTTCAGGCAACCTTCAAAGTAATAGAGAGAGATACCCACAAGAACAGCAACCAGGAGCATGGAATTGTGATGATTGCACTTACTCCAACCATCCAACTCGGTCTGTGTGTGAAATGTGTGGGAAAATCAAATTACCAGGTTTGTGTCAGTCATCATTGAGTACAGGATAGAGAATTTTTGAAAATTGTGTTAACAACGATAGATGTCTTTTTATGCCCCTGCCGGGGCGGAGTGGTCATTAAGTGTTACCTTTGTCCATCCATACATCGTTCTTTACGTCTCAAAATTAGTTTCTGTTCTCTTACATTTAGTTTGCCTCAACCAGATGTTATAAAACTTATACTCAATGATTATTACCACAAAACACAGATCAAGATTTAATTTGTGTTTTGTCAGTTTTACCGTTCTTGAGTTATGCCCCTTTGTAAATGGAAAAATTGCTGATTTTTTTTCTGTTCTCTTAAGTTTAGTTTTCCTCAACCAAATGTTTTGAAACTTGTACACAATTCTTATTACCATAAAACACAGATCAAGTTTGAAATTTGGGTGGCATCACTTTTAGTTATTTAGTTATGTCCCTTTATAACGTTATATGCAAGCGGGGGCATCAACTGTGTCCCATGGACACATTCTCCATTTATTTCATTTGAATTGTTTCACATTTTTCATGTCTGGTCCTTTCTCATTGTTGAAGGCCATATAGTGACCTATAATTGCTTATCTCCATGTCATTTGAGCTCTTGTGGATAGTTGTTTCATTGGCAATCATACCACATCTAATCTCTATATTGCTTTAGTATTAGGTTGAATTCTTTTATACCTTTATTTCTGGAAAACTCAGCTGTAAAGCTTAGTGTAGGCAGAACATCATGCATGAATAAATGTTAAATGTGTATTCAGTTTAACCTTAATGTGACCTTTGATGACTGCAAAAATAATCCCTTATACAACATTTTGTTAATCAAATTTACAAGAGGCTTCAACTTGGATATAAAAGTGTATAAAGGAAGTATGAATACATCAAAATGAAAATAACACTTTATAAATTGAGTATGTTCAAATGGCTTTTTTCATTGACCTTCATCAGGAAAGCTCAAAACCAAATATTTGAAAGCCAAGAATTAATCAATAGATTCAATACCTAAACATCTAAATAGATACAAGAAGATGTGGTATGAATGCCAATGAGACAACTCTCCATCCAAGTCACAATTTGTAAAAGTAAACCATTATAGGTCAAAGTACGGCCATCAACAAGGAGACTTGGCTCACACCAAACAGCAAGCTGTAAAGAGCCCCCTATAAATGACTAGTGTAAAACCATTCAAACAGGAAAACCAACGGTCTAATTTATATAAACAACGAGAAACGAAAAACACTTATGAACCACATCAACAAATGACAACTACTGAACAAAGTCTACTTTGCCTGAGGGTGTTGGAACCTTAGTTTCTTAAAAGTTACTATATTCATCAATGGAGAATTTAAGAAAAGTATTTTACGAATTTGTCTTGAATGTTATGAAATATTTTTTGATTTGTGTTTCAGGTATAACAGCAGTCCAGAACCCATGCTCTTCACCTGTAAGTATTATGTTTAAAGTGACTGTCATGTTCAAAGTTACTTCTGGGTTTTTATGTAAATAACAAATTTCATCCATCAAGCCTTGAATTATCAGCCTTGATTAAAAGGGAGTTGAACATGTTTTCTGTAAAAGGTGAAGGTTTAGTAGGAATTAGTTGTGAAAATCCCACAAGTTAAATCTTTATGTTGAACCTGTCCATTCATCAGCTAGTGTCAAGACTTAGACCATGCAATTATCATTCACTACTCATTGCTTATTTAAGATTAGGGTGGTTCCATTAAAACATACATGGTACCCTGGGAAGGCACTTAAAAATGGGGTAACCACCTATAGAGGCAAATTTAAATTTTACTTACATTTCCACTTTGCAAAAACATAAATGACACTCACCCATAGTTGAGATTTGGAAGTGTCATCCCTGGGTCTGATGTATGTTTTTATGGAATAGCCCTTATTTCTTTCTTTCTTAATGCAATTTGAATTAGTTTTTGTGTAAGTTAATAACAAAAAATACACAGGTCATGCCAGAGGTGACAACTGTACATCAAAATCACCATTGAAGGGTGTTGTAAGGTAACAATCAAATTTTCATGTAAGTTTCTTCACCAGAAAAAATCTTCCTGTTAACCATTTTTTCCAGTTATCAGTATTGTCTGTATTTTAGCAATTCTAAAGAGACAAAATGATTATAATTATTGAAACTTGTCTCAATTTTAAGTTTAATTTGACTTAATATTTACTGTAGGCTTTGGAAATTTTTCTCCCAATATGATTTGGGATTAAACAATTTTTGGAACTTCTTAGGGCAGTAAATCTTAATTTTTTGACTGTTAATATGGCAATAAAATTGTAATTTGCTTTGGTTTACAGTGATTTTAATCTTTAAAGTTGCCATTAAAATGATTGTCAGGTTTTATTTCCAGAGAAATATCAAACTTTTCATTCAAGTGTAGCAAAAATCAACATTGTGTTTAATAAATAATTGATGTATATTTTAATCAGAGTTTTATGCAGAATTCCTATTATTTAGAAAATTGTCTGTTTTATCAAGTTAATGTTTTAATATATCATAAATTTTCACTCCTTTAAAGCACATCTAGACCACCAAGGTTTACTAAATAAATCTACTGTATATTTTCACTTCAAACATGTAAAGGCTTCCTCCACCAATAAAAACTGGCCGCCATGAAATAGCCAATAATTCTGAAAGTGGCATTAAACCCCAAAATCAATCAATCAAACATGTGTATTCCACTACTTAATATTTTCATAGATTGACAGCTGCAATGCTGATCAATTTTTTTTTACCAAAGAAATTAATTATATCTATACTAAAGGAAGAGACCGATTTCATTGAGCCGCAACTCCTCTGAAACCATACAAAGTCGAAAATATTTGTGATATGACGTTTAAATGTAGTGTTTTGTACTTCCTAAATTTGTCTTTGACACAATCTTTTTTCCACATAAAACGCCAATTTTTGAGAAAAATATCCAATTTCGGAGACTGTTATCGATCCGTGTCTTATACGTTTTCGCGCATGCTCAGTCGACGTACTGCCCGCGAAATTTAAAAACTTTGTTTCAACACTTGGCCAATTGTACTCACGATTTAGCGGGCATCTTCTATTATTTGTAAATATCTTGCAATTGTATTTTGTAGACATTATGGAGAAGAGGAGAAAATGGAGAACAGAATGATTTATCTTCAGATTGCGTGCGATGAAATCACTGTGGTGAAATCTATCTTTTATTGACTGAAGGATTTTCATCCGTTCCTTTTTCTTCTGTGACGTTTTTCGTATAAGCCAGGAAAGTAAGGATAATACAAATTACTGTGACATCATTTGTACTCTTTGGTGAAAATTTATGGTGACAGATAATTTGACTGTTCTTTACGATTAGGATATTCTACATATACTCTGACTGTTTTGTATAACAAGGATATCTACATATAATTTGACTGTTCTTAATTATGACGAGGATATTCCTCATATATATAAGAAAATAACAGCAAATTCTTTGTCATGACAATGTTAGTTCTTTGAATAACTTTGAAAATCTTATTATTTGAAAAATACAGATTTCTTATTTACTATTGTCGAAATGAAAATTATGATGTGTTTCGTTTTTAGGAGATTGTAAGATTGCTGTGTATGCTGTACACGATATAAACTTTTTACATATTGTTTGTGATCTGTATAAATTTACTGTCTTATGTGGCTGCTTTCTGTGGAAACTAAAAATGATTATAAGGACTATTTTTGTACTAGAAGTAAGAAAAATTACTTTTTAAAGTGTTAACATTGTATTTGAATGTTGACTGTTTACACATTGGAGAACTCATATTTTTACAAATTGATGTGCGACAAAAAAACATTCAGCAAATTTTCCAAGTCCAAGACAATATCTCTTGTTTAAAATGTTGTTTAAAAAATACAAATTATTGTCCTTATTTCAGCTTTTTTGCACAATGCTACTTCAATTGTCATTATAATTCAAATCAAGAACAATGTACTTTCACTTCACTAAAGATTTATTTCTTTCTGTCTATGATACATGTTTGATTGTCTGGATGAGGTTTACAGAATAAAGAATATTGGACAAAAAGTGCTGAATAAAGGGCAAAACAAAATGAAGAATAGAGAATAATGAAGTTTTAAAATACCAGTGTGGAAAATAGAGAGATAAAGAGTAGAAAAAAAATGGTCCTAAAAATTTAAGAATAATGAAATGAAGGACCCCCATCCCAACCCTCATTTTTACAAAGATTAACACTCAATTGTTTATTTTCGACACTAAGAATTTTTGACAGATAAGAGAGAAGGTTCTCATTTACTGGTGTTCCTTTTCAGTTTACCCTCCCTCCTGAGACTGGCTTTTTTCTTTGACACAAGTTATCTCCCTTGACCAAGTTGTCAAATAGAATTCAATATACCATATAATGCTAAGTTTGATGCTCAGTGCAGATTGATTAAATATGAAAAATAATGCACTAATGACTTAATTTTAAGGTGCAGGAGGAGGATCTGCTATGTAGTTTTATTTTAACTGATAGTATTTTTTGTATTTATATAATATCAGTTGTTTATGAAACAAGAGGAAGTTTCTCAGCTTCAATCTTATTGAAGAGTGATAGCCTTGAAATAAGATGAAGCTGATAGACTTCTTCTAGTTGGAAAGACCATCAATAATCTATTCACCACTATTTTCCTATACAATGTCAATGATGTAGGACTTATGATGTGATGCATTCTATTCCCACAAGTAGCTTTTGATGGAAAATTATCATACAGATAGATCAAAGTAAAATTTTAGAAAATAGTGATAATGTATTATACCTTTGTTATTAATATTATATATAAATTTTGTAATGGTAATTCCTTCTTGTTAAAACTTTTATTTACATCACTTAAGATTTGTTTTGAGATCTTGTCATTAACATTTTGTTTGAGCAAAGACATTACTTAAATATATATTTTGCTACAAGATGTCTTATACAAATTTATTTCATTGGTTTAATTATCAGTTTGGTTAAGGCCTTGGCTCATATCTAATTTTGACAAAAAATGTGTGTGAATTGGCCATCTCTGGTCAAATATGTCAATTTCAACAATTTTATGATGCTTTAATGACATCACAACTGACAGTTCCAGATTACATCATTGTAATCATTTATTGATAAAACAAACATAACTTTTTAAAGGATTGAGAAATCGTACTGTTTTTTTTTAAATTTCAGGAGCCAGTAAATGGCTTTTATCATGCCTCCTCTTTCCTGAAAATATAGAACCAATATTGACTTTTCCTGAACCTGCTACTTTCTTTGAAACTCAACCTCAACTTGGATCTCAACCAACAATAATCATGATCAAGTATTGAACCTTATAATCCAATTTTCCCATAATTTATATCGACCTGCAGTTTGAAAAACATTTACTGTTATTTGACATAATTGAACCTGTAAAGGGTTCTTTTTCAAATAATTTCAAACTTAATAGAATGCATATACATGTATTACAAATGACATATTTTATTCAAGAGTTATACAAGCAGAAATGTCATCGCTTTATTTTGAAATCTCTGAAAGTGCTGTAATACATGCTTACTTGATTGGTGACTTGAGTTTCTCTAGAGCCCCACTTTAGGACGGCAGGTATGCAACCTTTTCAAAAAGTCAAACTTGATTATCTTAATTAAAGGGTGTAATTATATAAGATTGGACTGTTTACTCACTTTATTCTTTCCAGTAGTGTTAACAAGTAGAACATTTTGACAAGACACAAACTATTTTGTGACAAATTTTATGGAAACACAGTAAAAATAGTTAGAGTTTTAGATTAACATGGAGAATTTTTGTGAAACTATATATATATATGTTTGTAATTTATATTTTTTTTTAATTTAAATTTAAAATTTAAGTGTTGAGTTTTAGTCATTAAATCTAGATTCATCTCTGAATAATTAGCTTGATGTAAGCACTTACTGTTGTAAATAAAATAAGACAGGTGTTCTCTGTGAAATAGAACCAAGTCTGTATTATTTCCATGATACTTTTTTGAAATCATATGGAAGTAATAAAAGTATGACTTGGTTAAGGTACAAATTGGTAAGAAACAGGAACCAGTTAGTTGAGAATGAGTTGATATTGAAAGTCTTAGGATGCCATTGATTCAACCAAAATGTCAGCCTCTATTATCAGGAGCTTTATGATAATTACCTTTTCAAGTTATTGGATATTTATAGCTACTGGATAATTCTGTTTTAAGAAAAAAATGCATACCCGTACTATTTAAACGATATACTATAGCTGTGTATATGAACATGTGCCCTTTAGGTATTAAATAAAACATGAATACCGTCTGACTTTACTTTCACTCCTTAATTCTTATCTTATCTGTTGAATACCATATTCTGGTTTAAATAAGAATATCCTATGGTAATATAACTGTCGCAGTGACCTGTAGTGGCATGCTCGCCTCATGTGCCTGAGGTCTTGGTTTTGATCCCAAGCCTGGTCAAATCTAAGATTTGAAAACTGGTAGTTGATGATGCTTCGCCACTATGCATGCAGCATTTAGAACTAAGAGAAAATACTTGTTGGTCCAAAATCAGAATAACATGTCCAAGAATGTGACATGTCTACCTGCAGACTTAATTTGTGCACGTTAAAAATTGATCTTAGCCTGTAGGTCTATTACAAAGCAGGGTTCATATTCGTATCATATTAACATTTTCTGGTCCTGAATATGTGTTAAATTTGACACCGGACGTTAAACATGTATCCTCTGGTAATGCTATTTTCATTTAACAGGACACCCCTGGTGCAGGTGTCTTCCAAACCAAAGTATTATTGATTATTTATCTCTTTGGTAATCTAATTTGAAAGGGAGATAACTTGTGTTAACGAAAGCATTTCATTACACTGTTTACCATAAATTATGAGTGAAATTGAAACTCAAGTGTGCCTCGGGTATTCCAAGTCCAGTATCATGACACAGAAATTCCACAGTCTTTCTTTCAACATCAAAGGGAATAGGTAAATGTCATAATCTTTAATTCTAAAAATCAATGTGAGGTTCACTCATGATTCCAGCGTCACTAATGAGTCTTTTGTAGTCCAAAATTATAACCTGGTATCTTTGATTATTTTTTTTTATTACTGAGTTTGTCACTTGTACTATTTGTATACAGTAGAATGTATCCTATGCGTGAGGTGTGTGCCGTTATATTTTTACATTGAAATATTAATGTAATTTGTTTTTCTAGGACCTTAGTCTGTTTCTGTTGTCTGCATTAAAGATCGTATAAAAAGTAATTGGTTTTCCAAACTGCTTTTTATTGAACATTCCCTTATTAACTCCTTTTTATTCATTTTTTTATATAAAATTTTGAAAAGCGTAGTACAACCCGCACTATATGTGTTTGATTCAGGAAAATCCTCAGTCTTTTTCTTTTTATCATGTCTTATTTTGCCTTTTAAAGTAGTTCGTATTGAAACCAGACTTTTGGATTTCTTTGAAACCGGTTAAGGGACTTATTAAGAGGATTCTGAACAACAAAGTTTGGTAAGGCAGAAAAATCAAAACAGCCCGTTTATTTATATCTTGGAGGAAGATAAAGGTTAAAAGAAAGAGATTTTGATTTTCGAGCATGAAAATCCAGTTCAGAATCCTTTATATACGGACATACTAGTGAATTCTTCTAGTTAATCGACTGGGAAAACATCAGTATTCACGATTTCCATTTTCTGGGATAAATTATATTATGTTTGTCGACTTCTCGTGTGGGGAAAGCAAAGTTTAGTTTAATGAGTCTTTGTTGGTAACATCAACACATTCAAGTTATTTTGCAGAAAACGGAATTAATGTGCCCAGCATCAGTTAGTAGATCCACTATCCTAGGATTTTTCAGTATACGGATATGGATAGTAAACTGCACATTACTAGAAAACAAAGAAATATTGATGCCAACGTTAAAAACGTTAATAATGTAATACAAATAGACAGGAAACACGAAAAAAGATTTGAAAAAAAACATTGATAAACAAAATTTTAATCTGCTAACCGAGTCCCTGTGCTCGTACAGGGTCCAACTATCAAATGATAGCAACACTAGTGTGATGCTTCGTCTTTAGGTGATTCTTAATAACACTTATATTAAGTTTGCCATGCGAAAAAGCGTATTGATAAATTTGCACCATCTAAGGATGAGTCACATCTACGTTCTCAAATCTTAATTATCGTTCATCAGAAATGTCAATTTATACAAAATGGGGCAATTCAGATATATGTTCTGTCTTAGATTTCACAGACATATTCTATTCAGGATAGTTCATGCTGTGTAGATGACAGTAGTGGGTCATCATAATTGTCAAAGGTGGTAAGCAAATTAGATATTGAGGTGGAAGATTTTTTCTTTGATCCTGAAACTAGCCATATACAAGAAATTACAACAAAATTGAGATTGGCCATAGATGAATTGGATTTGAAAACATTTCAAGATGTAGATGGAAAGTTCAAACAGGACATACGACACAAGTGATTACATAACGTTATAAAGGGACATAACTCAAGAATGGTAAAAGTGACGCTACCCAAATTCCTACTTGATCTGAGTATTGTGGTAATAAGCATTGTGTATAAGATTCATATAAGATTAATAACATTTGGTTGAGGCAAATTTAAGTTTGAGAACGGAAACGAAAAATTCAGCATTTTTTCCATTTGTAAAGGGGCATAACTCTAGAACAGTAAAAGTGACGCCACCAAAATTCAAACATGATCTGTATTTTGTGGTAATAATGATTGTGTATAAGATTCATAACATTTGATTGTGGCAATAAATTTCAGGGTCAGAAGAAATCATTTTGATGTATACTGTTCAACTCCTCAGATGCTAAGGCTTTTGAGGGGTAGACGTCTTCAAAAACACTAATGAAAGTGTGGTTTTATGAGACCCATTTTCTGAAAATGGAATTAAAAATTTAAAATAACATCACCGGTACCAATTTTTCTGCACCGGATTAAAGACATGGCATTCGTTTACCTGTTTTACAATTTTTGAGTAATTCTCAAAGATTAGGTAAGCCTTGAATGGCAATTTTCACTCCAAATGTCGATCAATGTATATGCTACACATGAGAGAGCTTTATTCGGTAACAACTTAAAAAGAAAGATGTGCTCACAGATATTGCTCGTTTTGCTATAAGAAAATAATTTTGGACACCTTTAGATGCTCTAAGAATTAAAAGATATTGGATTGGTAGAAGAGTTGTTTTGCTTACCCTCCCCCTTTTAAGCTACAAAAATCTTCATTTCAAATATTTGATGGAAGATGTGGTACCAATGAGACAACTATCCATCCAAGTCACAATGTGTAATAAAAAGTAAATAATTATAGGTCAAAGTACGGCCTTCAACACGGAGCCTTGGCTCACACCGAATAGCAAGCTTTAAAGGGCCCCAAAAAGACTAGTGTAAAACAATTCAAACAAGAAAACCAACGGTCTAATCTATATAAAAAACGAGAAACGAGAAACACTTATGAACCACACCAACAATGACAACCACTGAACAACAGAATCCTGACTTGGGACAGGTGCATAAAAATGCAGCGGGTTTAAACGTTTATACAGGCGCCAACCTTCACCCTAACCTGAAACATTGACAAGTCCTTTTTTTAAGGTCTCTATACTCACCTGCATCTCCCTCCCGCCTCTCCTTTTACTTTCTGGGTAAGTCATGACCTCACAAAATTAACTCGGAACGTCCGTTAGTCGGGAGGCTCCAGAATAATATTTTTCTTGGTATGTATGGACGGTCCATGCATATTGCAAACATTTGACGCAGGTTAGTATATAGATACTTCACAAATGGAGGTTTACATTAAAAAATGTGACAATTAAAAAAATCCATGTCTATTTATTAACAACATACAAACAAGTATACATATTTGCTAGATGACACAGAAATCTACTTCATATTTGTAAGTAATGACATGCAGTAAAACAAAAAATAACTAACTAACGTAAAAAAACCCAAAATATTGCAGGTAAATGAGGTTAGCTTTGTCTAATTAATATATAAAATAATCCGTTTCTAATCTATACACTATGTTTTACATTTCAAATTAATCAATGAATATAGAGGTCTATTGCAAAGTAAAGGATTTTCAAACTTGTCACATTTGTTAGCCGTACGTTGTGTTTCATAATTGACATTTTAGGTTGACATATAAATGCTAATAAGAAAAGACTGCAAAATTGCATTGTTTATTCCGAAAAGAAAGTTGTAAGCTTTAGAAATTGTTATTGTGGTGTCATAATTTATTTCAAACTTGTTTTTTATACGAAATTTATATAATAAAATTAAGAATTAGAGACAACTCATTGGTGGTATTCTTCAAGTAACAATTTTTAAGGCACTATTAGTTTCGTTGCATTTTAAGACTCATCGATCAGTTAGTTAATAATCCTGTATTAAAAATGCGATTTGTCCACTTTTGGAGAAAAATAACTTTTACAAAGTGCAATATAATTGAAAAACAGCATTGGACAATCTAATACTTTCATTTTATTTAGTTTTTAATTCATAATACGAAAGGAAATAAAGTTGCTTAACATATACAAAAATACAAAAATGAATTTAAAAAAAAAAACAAAAACAAAAACAACAATTTACTTTTATTAATTACAATTGCCAATCGAACAATCTTACAAGACACCGAATTTTCTTCTGAAAATGATTTTATAATTTTTTAACTTTTCTCGATAAATTACTATCAAAGGGTCTGTCGACTTTACAATCTAATACAAATGCAGTGTACATTTATTTAAATATAGTTAAAATGTTTCAGGTACTGGTTATTGTGGACTGTTTGTTTTTATTAATGAAAAAAATAAATCTGCATGCAATATATAAAAATAATCAGAAATTCCTATCCTAAGTAAAATAATTTATTCTAAATAATAATCCTATCATTACATTTGATGAGTTCCTAAAACACTACATTATTTATAGAATTCTCTCTATGATCCATAGGTTGACCAAGGACAATTGTGATCCACACAAATCCATACAAAGTGGGGGTTTTGGATAGATAGGGGTTGCGCACATTTTAATCAAAACTTTTCTTATAAAAGACATTGATAACACTTTCTGTTTGCTTATTCAATTGTTAAAGATTTGGGTTAAGACAATTGCTTATTAACAGAAAACAACACTCGACGATCACACGTATCAGCCCCCTTTCCAAATAAAAAAAGAAGATATAATCTTATCCACATATGCTATACACAACATACGAATACATGGAAAAGATAACTGCTTTAACATACAATGCAATGTAGAGTTAAACTAGATAAAACACTCAAACATTAACAGAACAGAAACATCATCAGGACATAGCATGATAACTTGATTCAGAAATCAAAATAAAAGTGATAGTTATAAAATGAGTCTTTACATTAAAAACTAACAATTTGAACCACACAGAGTACATTTAGGGAGTGGTGCTAAGTGATAAAGTATTAAAACAAACTTTCTATGATGTCATGTTTAATTAAAAAATCTGCAAAATCATCATGAAAGTCAATCATTCCGAAAAAAGTCAAGTTGTACTAAAGGGCAATAGTCCATCGACTAAGGTCAATTAATTGGCATAGTTGATAACTTTATGGCAAAAGCATGAAACGTTGCACTGTTTTTTATGCTAATGAGAATATTTGGATATGGAACAATCTAAAAAAAAATCCATTATGGCCGCCAAGCTGTCTTTTGTTTACTACACTTAAAATTTTTCGAACTAATAAAGATTTTCTACCCCGGGAATAGATTACCTTAGCTAAATTTGGCAAAGCCTTTCGGAATTTTGGATACTCAATGCTTTTCAACTTCGTACTTTATTTGACCTTTAACTTTTTAATTTCGAGCGAGCATGAGTCTTTTGTGGACGAAACGCGTGTCTGGCGCGCAAAATTGTAATCATGGTATCTATGATGAGTTTTTTGTATTCCATATAGCCATGCGGATATCAGAACAATTGATCACTTTATGGTAAATGCATGAAATTTGGCATAGTGAAATATTAAAGTATAAACGAAATATATATAAACGGGCGACGAAAAAAAAATCCAGTATGGCCGCAAAATTAAAGATGACCGACATAAGGTACTTCAGTAGGTATCAAAAATCTAAGAAAATACAACGAAGATATGTTGAAAATATTTATCCATCTTTTTAAGAACAGAACATCATAAAAATGGCGCCCAAATAAAACGCAATCTATCTAGAAAATATATAGGAAAATAATGTTTTAACATTTTCAGAAGCAAAATCGGGGTGTTGCAATGCCGTCAAAGCGTTCGCATATATACACTATCAAAATAGTATAAAAAAAAAATGATCATATCGTGAAACTTACCATTTGATATTTATACCTGCCTAAATAGTATTAATAACACCAGGTGGCATAGAGTAATGTTTTCAAAATGACGCCGTAAAAATGTAAAACGTTTATTGTGTTTGCATATACATTATTGAGTTGAAATTCAATGATAAAAAACATTAATGAAACATTTATATAGATACGCACACAAATTAACATATTGGGAACATAAACTATGAAATAAGAATAGCGACACAATTCAAAATAGCGTCTCTGACAAGGTGTAGATTTTCACAGTTTAAATTAATGTTTACATGACTTTAGAAAATCTTTCAGGATACTTGCAATGAAAAATATGTGTAAAATCTTATAATGATACAAAACAAGTATCTTTTTTTCAAAATTGCGCCTCAAAAGTAACTATTTGGCTTAACAATTGTTACAGAACATATTTAAATTATCAATAATCAAAATAACATCCTAATTCTGGATAATCAACATTTAGCACAATCTCTTTGACTTTCTCTTTTACAGTCTGGTGAATAGATACATTTACTGTGCTGTGCATTTCAATGTTGTTTTCATGCATTTACATGTCTCTCGACATTACTTCTTACAGCCACTTTAGATAAGCTCATGGCATGACATTGCAGCTTCAGCACGCACTAACCAGAATGACACCAAAGGACCATAAAGTTTTTGGCAACCAAATGATCTGGTTGTGACGTAATAATATTTTTCTTTCAACAATGATCCTGAATAATATTTCCTTGATAAGCTGCACGTTTTGTAAGTTGAAGTAGTGCATCTTTTGAGAAATGTTGTCAATTGTACTGTTTGAATAAATGTTTTCTTAATTCATTCACCGTATTGATTGCGCTAGACCGGTCATACATATCGTTCTATAACTTTCATGACTTCTTATGTTTCCACTTAATTTGGTTTTTCAATTATCTGCCCAAATGTTGCTGGCAACTTCTCATATAAGCGCCGTGTGTCCCAAGCTGATTTCTTACCTTTCCCAACAAAAAAAGATGATATTGTGTCACAACCGGTGAAGACATGAAACAGTGGTAACACTTTTGACTTCAATAGTCCTAAAGCAATGCATAATTCATGAACTGGACTAAATTGGAAGTTCTTTCCCGTACCGAAACATATCAACAAATGTTCAATCTGATGTCTTGAAACAAGACACAAATGAGAAAACAGCATTTACATCAACGATTTTTATCAGTATTGACCATTCTGGGCAGCTTCTAATTAAGGTATGTAAAATATTCTAGTATGTGCCTCCCAATGTTAACATGGACTCGATGAATCATAGCTATTTTGTGTTGTATTTCTATAGGCGTTTTCTGGACGATAATAAAGTTGAGCTCTTTCAATTTTTCGCTGATAAAAAAGTCAACGCTGAAATGGAAAGTGTAGTAACTGACAAGGACAACGCCATTGGAAATACTGCAGAAAAAGGCGATCAATCATAAATCTATGTTTTCATAAGGAGGCAGATTATAGAATATTTGTATATGTCTTAGATACTGCCTCTAAAGGTCATAACAGAACATGGATAAGAACCGTTGATGCAGATGACTTTGTGTTGCCTGTATCTTGTTTCAACAGGCATCATATTGAACATGTGTGGATAGGGTTTGAAAATAACTTTCGATTTATTCCAGTTCATGGTTTATGCTTTGTTTGAGAATTATTGAAGTAAAAAGTGTTACAACTGTTTCATGCCTTCGCCGGTTGTGATACAGTATCAATTTTTTTTCTGGGAATGGTAAGAAAACAACTTGGGACAATGACGCGTATATGAGGAATAGTCAGCAGCCTTTGTGCAAATTATTGAAAATGCAAATTAAGTAGAAACATAAGAAGTCGTGAAAGTTATAGAACGGTATGTCGTACTTCTTTATAACCGGTCTAGTTCAATTAATAGGTGAATTAATTAAGAAAACATTTATTCATACGGAAGACAAGAACAATTGACAAAATTTCTCTGGAAAGAGATACACTACTTCAACACACAAAACACGCAGCTTACCGATGTTACCCAGGTAGTGCTATTTTTGATAATTGTTTAGTGGCAAATCCAAGTATGGTGTCATTAGACTTGTTTGTTTGTCAAAAACTTGATGGTACTCGAGTACAATTCTGTGCAGCGTTGAAGAAGCTTCAATGTGATGCCAGGAGCGAATCCACTGTGGCTGTAAGAAAGGATGTCGGGGGCATTTTAATACTTGAAAGCAGCATTGAAATGCACAGCATTTTGTTACCGTTCATCAGATTCTGAGGGGGAAACTGGGCAAGAATGTGATAAACGTTAATTAACCTGCATTTGGATGTTATTTTAGCTATTTATAACTTGATTATGTTCTATAACACTTGTTATAACCAATAGTTACTTTTGAGGCGCCATTTTTATTTTTTCACCATTTCCATAAAGAAATACTTGTCTTGTATAATAATAAGATTTAACACATTCTTTTTTCATTGCAAGTAGATTGAAAGATTTTTTCAAGTGTAAGCATTTACTATAACTGTGAAAATTTACACTTTGTTAGTGACACCATTTAGAATTGTGTCGCCTTTTTTATTTCATAGTTTATGTCCCCTGTTACCAATAATGATATGTTGGTTTGTGTCTGTAGCCAAAAATAAATGTTTCATGAATGTTTTATCATTGTATAAAACATCAATAATGTATATTGAAAAAAACTGTTAAATTGTTACATTTTTGACGCCGCCATTTTGAAAATATAAACTATGTCCCCTGGTATTATTAATACAATGTAGGCGTGTGTCTATATAAAAAAAATGTTTCATGAATTTGTTTACTTTGTATACAACAATGATATCGTAAATATTTAAATACTGTATAACTTTGAATATGATAGTTGTTTTCCATTCGTTTGATGTGTTTGCCCTTTTGATTTTGCCATTTGATAATATTTAAATTTTCCTCGGAGTTCGGTATTTTGTTATTTTATCAAATAAAAAAAAATTAAAATTAAAATATATCAGAACACGCAAGAGGGAAGACCCCCCAAACTAACGTTAACATTAACGAATCAAGAAAGTCAGAAATACAAAGGAACGAGAAACACAGGAGAAACAACAGAATGCTACCACTAAAAACCGTGACGATTGCTTAGATAAAATATCAGACCCTTCAGATTTTAAATAATTGAACACACAACAACAATAAAATCAGATCCCCCAGAGAAATAAGCATATCAAATCATTTTACAAAATAGCATGCACGTACTTTTTGTCTTCATACATATGCTTTTGAATTCTATCTTGTAACTTGAGAATTCTTTGTGGAATTTGTAAACATACCAGAAAAAAAGTAGTTTTCTAATGTAACGAATAGTGCACAAAAACACCGAGAAAAAGCTTCATATTACACATTAAGTAGTGTCATTCAAAGCTTTAAATGCGGAAAACAACATAACTCTGACATTGACTTGCGCTATCATGAAGGATATTTTATCGTTTGTTTGCATCCTTTGCAAATAAAAGAAGAAGTGTTTTCATTAACATCCATTCCTGCTTCTCTTAGTCTTCTCATCAATTCTTCTCTTTCTGTTAAAAGTTGTAACTTTTGTCTTTTCAGACTTTCTTCTTTTGAGGTCTCCATATCAAAAGTCTGTAAAATAAAACAGCATGAATGTCAATTTAATTATGTCTTGTTTGACTTAGAAGCTGGTTTCTAGTAATATGTTTCTATTTCTATAAACTATTACTACATATCCCATAAATACCATGAAACAGTTTCGATTTAAGATTTACAAATATCATAAATACTTTTATCATGTTTCAATGTAGAACAATTATGTTTTGTATATATTATTGGAAAAGCAACACACAATAAGATATATAATAAACATTCTTTCGCGAATTCTTTACATTTATTTTCTTTCAAAGTGTAATTTTCTTTTCACAGCAACCAAATCATTACCACAAAATATGTAGTGAATTTTATTGTATATATGATAAAGGGTAACTCATTTTTCAATGGTAGGAATGTTATGAATATAAAACAAACTGAAAGGTCTCGTATCATTTTATAAAATCATCTACATTATTACAAAAGATGCATATTGCGGGAATAGAAAAAAAAGAAGAATCTAAGAAGACAATAAGACATTAGAAGTAAAAAAAAAACAGTACCGTAAACAAAAGATAAAAGACAAACATATAGTCAACATATGCATATATAATATATACAAAACATTATACAGAAAACTGAATATTCAGTGGAAAAATCAGGAGGAGACAAACCCAGATCGTTTAGAAGGGTTATGATTCTTCTTCATTATTAATACCTCAAAAACTTCATTATTAATACCTCAAAAATTGAAAGAACAAAGAGGCCGACCCTAAATAAAAATAATACCGGCTGTAATTAGTGTTCTTAAAATACACTTAAACCTTAAAATCTTATTGTCCGTATTTTATTCAATTGGTGAAGTCTTCCTGCAAAACAACTATTAGTTGTCTCCCGACACAAAGAAATTAACATTACTATTAATTTTGTAATATGCTTTTATTAAAAACCTTAAATACATGTCTATCCTATAGTCATGTCTCTTCAATACTTTTCGACATAAATTAAAGATTAATGAGTCAAAATATCTAACAAAGATACTTTCAGATTTTTTAACAGATATCTATTGACATATTGCTGTAAGGGTCGATAACAGTCAATTATTACCTGTTTTAATATTTCTTCACGTTCTATTTCTTTCTGTCTTGATCGACGCAAGGAATCTCTGTTTTGTAACAGTCTTCGCCTGTATTTCTCCCTTTCTTCTTCAGTGAGCTTAAACAAAATTGTGTCAATAAATAAGCCTGTTTTTATATTGTGCCTTTTTTTTTGGCAATGATTATTCTGTACATGAGGGTAGTGACTTACAACATCTTTGATCTTAGATTTAATTTTAATGACCTGCCGTCGGTAGGAAATGTATTTTGTTCTGTATACTTTATAACGTTACTTCATTTGATTAATAATACATATGTAGAAAGAAAAAGCACTTGCATGAAATAAATATTTTTCGAACAGCATGATCCTCCAGCTCAGTGACTAAGTGGATAGTACCTCTCTCTTTCAACCGATGTTAAATGTTACCAACTCTTCAATAACGTATTCTAAACATTGATGAATTTTTGTCACTTCACCTTTTCGAAAGAACACTAGCTAGATATGTTGTTTTTCTAACTTTTGGCATCTATCTTCTAATTAGTAAAGATTGTTTTTCCTTCATTTAAACATATGCTATTGTACACTTACAAACTACTTACCTCATAAACTTTAGGTTCCTCTCTTTCTGGTAACAACTCTCCTTGACCCTCACTTAATCGTCGAGTTTGTATCTTAAGTCGCAACTCCTGCTTTAAAATTGGAAGTAAACTATCTTCTTTCACACTCTGATCATATGCTTTACTTAGGTCTTCGTCAGAGTCGGAACTAGTTGTTTTTTTATTTGAATTTTTATGTGGACGTTTCTTTGAAATTTTTGAACCTTTTTCTGGGCTCTTAAATTCCGGATTTTTAAAACTTGTTGATGGACTTTCTTCGCTGTTCGTTTGGTACAATTTTGTTTTCCCTTTGTCAGAGGGATCGATCATAACAAAGAAGGCTATTCATCAGAATCTCTGGTTAGCACCGAACTGCTACTAAGTATTCAATAATCAGAAAATACAGAATTTTCTAAAGATGACTTTCATTTACATAAATTAAATCTGAAATGAACTAAAGTAATATCATGATGAGCATATGTCCTGCACGTAATATAGAGTTGTAAAACCCTTAAAGCCGTAAAACAATGAAATAATTCAATGTAGATAAAATTGTTCTGTCATTAAGATGAAACTAACATTAGCATTTCAATATATTTCTCGGCAATGTTAGTCAAAACCACACATCAATAATTTTATAATAAACCTTTCTCCCGAAATATGAATAATCAAGCTAAGTATAACTTGTATATTGGGATGATAATCTTGGACTGCTTTCATTGAAAGTTTCTCATGTATCAAATTATCAAATATGAAAGCAAAATTCTGTCGGAATAGTGATATTCCCGGAATATTGCAACTATACAGTAGTGGCAGTAAGGAATCAAAATAAAATCATTTCTTGTCAGTAGTGCCCGAAATCCAAGGCTGGTCAGTCATGTCACACTTATCACCGAAAAAGACATCTCATCCAATTTGTAACGGTCATTGGCAGCATGATTGCTTTTTCTTTTTTTTTATTTTGATCATGTTTTTGTTTTCTAACTTGATTGCATCGTATTACTTTTACAGAAAAATCACACATTTGGAAGAAAACTGTATCATAGTAGCAGGAGAAACTTTTGTGTTGATTAAGTAAATGTTTCTAAAGACTGAAATGCGATTTGAATGCATAGCACAATAATGCTATAATAGATTATTTCCCTTTTTATGTATATACCATGCATATGTAAAGTTTATGTTAAAAAAACTTATACATGTGAAAATCTTGACATAAGTTGAAATCGAGGCGATGAATACAAAGGTAAGTTTGTTAAAAAAAAAGATTTGCAGTCTAGCAAAAAATGCATAGTTTGAAATTTCTACTGTAAAAAATAGAATAAAATTGCATGAACAGAATGACACTATAAATGTATGATTATGAGATTTTGTTATTAATCTTATTGATCAAATAGTCGACGAATTGACAATTTGATTATGGTTCAGGTTATACATATCTAAGAATACTGTGGATTCATTTATTTTCGTGGGTACCAATTTTCGTGGTTTGAAGAAAACTTGCATATTCGTGGATATTTAATATCGTGGTTTTGGCAAAGTGGTTCACCTGTACCCACGAAATCCACGAAAATTGGTATTCAACGAATCTTAATGAATCTACAGTAGATAACATTGAATGCTGATTTCGTGTAGTTTAGTTTCTGTTTTGTTTTTCTTCCAAATATTGAATCTGCATTTTCTAAAAACGATCCTGCATAAAAATGTAGCGTGCTTTGACAAAAATAAAGCCAGTTTTTATATGCCGAGTGAAACACTACACACACATATTCATAAATGTGTATGTAACTCACTATAGCATTAGTTCCCAAGTCGTAGACATCGTTACGTTTATTCAACAATTGAAATATATCTTAAATTGTGAAAGTAAAATTGTAAAATCGTTGGTATCAATGTCTAAATATAAACAATCGGTATATATCTGTCAGGTGAAAAAAAATATCAAAAGCCCAACATTGAAATGAAACAAGCATTCTGAGAGTATTGCATGGCAATACATAGTCCCCTACCGGATAAAAAATTATTATACTGGAACAAAATGCTAACTTGTTCTATAACTTGTCATGGTGTAAACAAAAAGTAAATATCATGTCAATATCTTCAAGCATGACTAAAAACAGTGTGGAAAACTGATTATATGCGTGAATTTTTCAAGTCCAAGGACCATAACTCTGCACAAAATTATTAGACCGAAACAAAAATTTGAACTTGATCTGTAACTTGTCATGATAAAACTATATATATACCAATTATCAATCAATATCTTATAAGCATGATGAAAAAAACATCAGATATGATTAATAGTTCTCTAAAATTAGATATGATGTAATACAGTGTATATCTATTTTCAAATTATAATCAAATATAATTAATAGTTCCAAATATTTTTTCTTTCATTTGTCACAAACTAATATAGATTTGTAACTTATCTATAAAATGTCAACAACTTTTATCTACACAATGTAATGTATTGAAATATATACATAATAAAAATAGATTATTATCTAATTTTTTTTATATATATAGCATTCAGAAAATTAGTTTATACTAAATAACTAACAAACCTGCCAAAAAATTCTTCAAATAATTGAACAAAGAATGTCTTTTAAAAAATTAGTTATCTCCCTTTGTACAGAAATATGGTTTAACATAGTACTCTAACATTAAATATGGTCCAGAGTTATGGTCCATAACTCTGGATTAAATCATCAGACCGGAACAAAATTTGAACTTGATCTATAACTTGTCATGATAAAACTATGTACAAAATAACAAATCAATATCTTCAAGAACGAAGAAAAAAAGTGTGGAAAGCTGATTTGCCGGACTGACGGATGGACAGACGGACGGACAGACAGACGGACAGAGTGCAAACCTAAAGTCCCCTTCGACTTCGTCGGTAGGGGACTAATAATGAAATAGGAGGTACTGAATTTAATCATGTTAGAAGTAGTCTATGAAAGTTTCACAGAATTCTGTCAAGCGGTCCAGGAGCAGTTGTGGATATACAAGTTCGACAGAAGGACAAACAAATGAACGAACAGACAACCAAACTCCCCATCGCTATATAACGCACGTTTAAGAAAGCGGGGAGTATAATAATTACTATATGGTTTGAAAGAGGTTGAATGATAAAACATTGACGATTAATCTCTGACGATGAATGTATTTTTTTTATCATCCATAACTTGTTAATTGTATAAGAAAATATGCAGAACGCAAAAATCGGTCAAGGATCAGTCAAAAATCACAATTTAAAAATGGAAAAACAGTACTGAAAAAGATGAAAAGACTAAATTAAGATACATAATAAAGGAAAGGAATGAGCAATATGACTCAAACAAAGCCAGAAGTTAACTCAAATCCTTCACATTTGTGAACAGTTTATGTCCTACATATGGTACCAATTGTGTTGTACCTAATTCGGTGATGTGTAGTATTCGGCAAGAAATTAACGACGAATTAAAAAATGAGGAGACCACTTTCGAATTCGTTGCATTTCCGTCAAAACTTTTGGTTTTAGTGAACATCATTCGTGCGTTTAGGGGCATCGTCACTTCCTTCTCATGTTGAGCGAGCGGTTGAATAAAATTGATGCTATATTGCCCGAATTCTTCGGCAAATCAAATTCTTATAATTGATTATCAGCACTGCTATCATTAGGGAATTGTAATTAAGTACCTACGGAACAAACATTATTTCTACTTTATCCTGCATAATGACGATCACGAAGACGCTTGATGAACTTTAATACCGAAGGGATACAGGTTGCCCCCTCTATCTGGTGAATGACGTCATAAATGCGCGCATAATTGACGAACTTTTCCGGTAAAGGACATTACACGAAAGTGTATTGTAATTAAGTACCTACATTAATTCGACGAAAAAAAGACAAGTCCATGACCGAAAGAAAAACTACTAAAATACAATCAGTAGTCCACCAAACACTACACAGATAACTTAACACTGAACAAAAAGAAATCACACTAAAAAACAGGGATAAACTCCGGATTGGTAAACAGATTGTATACTACAAGTGGCAATCGTCGTGTTACCCATGGCGACTCAAAAATTTGGTGAGTAATCTCAATCCGTGATTTCACAATTAAACAAACGGACGGTATTGAAGCTATTATAAGTTATATGGTTCGCTACTGACCCCCTACGGATCCATACAGGGTTAGTAAAATCCTTAGGGGGTGAGGTCGAAGGCCGAATTTCCTATGAATTTTATTCACGAAAATTGGGGTCAGTAGTTAACCGTATAACGAATTTATCGCACGCAGGACTTTTTCTGCTGCGTTTTGTAGAAAAATAAACAATGAAACACAACAATATTAATAGATGACATCACCATTAACAGTAGACGTGACGTCATGAACCCCCTATGAAATTTACTAACCCCTACGGATCCATAGGAGTCACCACGTGACGGCGTTAAACCAATCACAACGTGATAATTTACCCGCAGTGCGATAAAACAAGCTGTCATATCCGTGGTAATCTTTGAAACAGATATTTCGTAACGTTCTTTTCCTGTTTGAATGGTTTTACACTAGTCATTTTTGGGGCCCTTTATAGCTTGCTGTTCGGTGTGAGCCAAGGCTCCGTGTTGAAGACCGTACTTTGACCTATAATGGTTTACTTTTACAAATTGTGACTTGGATGGATAGTTGTCTCATTGGCACACATACCACATCTTCTTATATCTATATACAAACCTACATAAAACGTTGACTTCACTGAAAATTCAAATTCGTTGTTCACTTGTACACACGATATCAACGAAAATTTGCATGCAACTAATAATAAAGAATCAACAATAGACATTTCACAATAGGAAATTTGAAATAGTTTTTCAAATCTCTGAACTGGTGATTTATTGTTTTTCTTTTTTCGTTTTTTTTTTAATAATGACGAGGATCATGTAAGATGTGCTTGTCGTCAACAGACATAATTGTCACAGAAGATAATATATCTATTATTAGTCTATTAGCTATTGCCTCTTTACAGGATTATTTAAGAATTCTTCATTTACTTTTTCAGTCCAATATTTTTGTTTTGTCATCGTTTACCCTGTTTTCTATCAATTTACATATAAGTTGCAATGACTGCATTGTTTTGGCAAGTGTAACAATTTGTTCTTCGCAAGATGTTTTTAAAAATGTTTATTGATTTTTCAGTTTATTTTTTATGTTTTGTATTGGGTGCAGCCATGATTAAAGGAAAGCTTCGCAAAAAGTGAAAGATTGATATTATATTCATTATGTATAAAAAAAGCACAAAACCATAAATATTAACATTTTATAGATAAGATAAGAAATCAACATCGATTTTAAGTTGAGTAATATCAATTATCTGCATGTAGCAACTTGACGGCTTCCCGATTATAAACCATGTGATATCTATAAACCACAAAGTACCAAAACAAGCAAGGACTAACGTAGTCGTAATTCAGTGTCAAAATCACTTGTCAAGCATACGGTTGTTTTACCCGACAAGGTAATGACAAAAGCATACACAGTTTGAAGAATACACAGGCGGTAAAATATATTAATCATAATTCTTAAAAGCAATACACTTGCACTATTCTTCAAATGATAATGCTAGGGTTTCTCTCTCTTAAAGATGACGGACATACAAAAAGTATTCGACGATTATTTGGACCATCAACCACAATTCCTCTATTCCAACATATTCATTATTCCCCAAAGTGTGGTTGACTTTTTTGGTTCATGGGCAGAAATATCGGATACACGTTTTAAAGTAGAAACCTTGCACTATTACCAGTATCCTTTTGGTAGTTGTGAAATTACATTCATTTATAGTGAAAAGCTTCTTTCGTACTAACCAAAATAAATTCAGCAGAGAAATATTGCTCTTCAATGTGAAGTGGTTTTAGGACTTAACTAAATATACTTTTGCATGTATAGAAAATTTAACGAAAAAGCATTAACGGTACTAATTTTACTAATTTAAGTGCATCAGATGCATTAGTCCTTTATCTTTAACAAGACTGTTTCGAGATCTGCATTTGTTCTTAGAATTCCTGGTCATAGATGATGACGAAAAAAGTTGTAAAATAGAGGGAAAAGATACCAAAGGGACATTCAAACACATAAGTCGAAAAATAACTGACAATGCTATAGCAAAAAACGAAAAACGTCTAAAAGACCAACTACTGTATAGAAAACACAATATAGAAAACCAAAGACTAAGCAACAGAAACAAAATAGTGTGTGATCTCATGCGCTCCGGATGGTTAAGCAGATCCTGCTCCACATGTGGCACCCGTCGTGTTGATCTGTAAGTACAAACCTAATACTAAAGTCTAATTCAGTAGGTCAGATTCGAGGAAAAGAGGACGTGATTGCGGTCACGACGTGAAACCAAATGGCAATGTTTATCTTTGATTTACTGCCAATAGGTTAATACCATGACTTGTATCTGTGCAGTAGTATTTGACACCAGCCATACCAGCCGTGATTGTTTCATATATTCTACAAGATTCAAAGTTGGCTTTTGGAAATGAACGTACTCACATAATTTGTCAAATTGTATGATGTTTGTCAACTGTGGTAAAAAAATATAAATCTTATTCTTCTTTATGTTATCAGTAAAAAATGTCAACGTGATATTTAAGTAGAGGTCAAATAACATGTATGAGTAGGTTATGTATTTATATATATTCTTTCATCGTAAATGAAAATAACACTTTATTAATTTCACTCGTCTGAAACTCTGTTCTGGATTTACCTTCACAAAGAACACTAAAACCCATATATTTGAAAGTTCAGGATGTATAAGACCTCAACCTTTGAAGAGCTATATGTCCGAAATGAACCTTAAAAATAGTCAATAGATATGAGAAGATGTGGTATGAGTGCCAATGAGAAAACTCTCCATCCAAGTCAAAATTTATAAAAGTAAACCATTATAGGTCAAAGTATGGTCTTCAACACGAAACCTTGGCTCACACCGAACAGCAACCTATAAAGGCCCCCAAAAATTACTTGTGTAAAACCATTCAAACGGCAAAACCAACGGTCTAATCTATATAAAAAACGAGAAACACTTATGAACAACATCAACAAACGACAACAACTGAACATCAGATTCCTGACTTTATAGGACAGGTGCAAACAATTGCAGCGGGTTTAAACGTTTTGATGGTATTAAACCTTCACCCTTCATTTAAGGTCAACTTTGCTTATGGGAGTTGGAACCTTAGTTTCTAAATAAGTTCTTAATTTATCAACGTGGAATTTAAGTAAGTTTGTTAAAAATCATATGTCTGTTACGAAGCACTGACTAATAAGTTGATGATACATTCGGGGACTAGCAGTCCACCAGCAAGGGATTGAAAATATTACTTGATTAATTTGGTACGACTCCGAGGCGCTTTTCTGGATTTACCTTCACCAGTAACGCTCAAACCAAAACATTTGAAAGCCAGGGATGTATAAGACCTAAACACTATATCAGGACCAAAAGGGACATATTAAATATTAGTCAAATTCATCTAAGGTTAACTTTACTTTGTAAACTATAATTCACCAGCTGAACTACAACTACTTAAAAAGAAAGCAGAGAAAAAAATCCTTGTCTCCTTTGACCAATTTTCAAAACTGGATATCCTACGTAAGGCTACAATGCATATATTTCCTTATATAAAATTCAATGTTCACATACGTTTGCGGTTTTTTCAAGAACCGGTTATAAAAACTGATTATTATAGCTATGAACTATGCAATTATATGATACTGATACATTTTATGTGCTATTTGAATAAGTTAAAAATTTAAAAAGGCAAAACGACGACGCCTTTAGAAGTTTATAGAGGTTTAGTCATATACATGGGAGTTATCAACTTGATGGCGTTGACCTTTAAATAAATGATATAATTAACACTGATTACTTAAACAAAAATAGATAAAAGTTAAACGTAAATAGAATATAAAGCATGCAGTACTTGTTCCTAAGATTGAGGATGTGTTTTATTTACCTTTTGGTTTCTACCGATTGTGTTTTTCCATTACTATCCAACATTTTATTTGAGTGTATGTATAAAAATAGAATGCAAAATTCCCTTTTCCAAATATAACTTTTTTTTTAAAATTTATTTATAACATTTTCTAATAATAGATCGAAGCTCATGTTCTATTTATACGATGTCGCCTTAGCAAAGTAATCTATTAATCAGAAATCTATCAACGATAAACATTATTTAAAAGGTATTTAAAACAAGTTTCGTGTATCTTGTTTTATCATTGCAGCATATATCTACTGATCAAGGATAGATGAATTTATGTACATATATGATAACTAGTTCTTTTTTTTTGTGATCTCGTTTTTAATGGATTAATTGGGCACACACATAAATTATGGCGGACGTTACAAGTCTAAAAAACTCGTCTATAGGCAATCACAAGAATATGATAAACGTGGCTTTAATTAAATTGAATTTATCAATCTGAAATGCGTGCTCTAAATCTTAACATTAATAATTAACTTTTTATACGACCTAAAGACGTTTGAATATTTTTTAAAGATTAAAGTTTTAATCTAAGCTTGACGCAATGTGTATGATGTATACAAAGAACAATAAAATATTTTTTTTCTTTCACAATCAGTTATTTTGACGATGCATTTTCACAAAATTATAGTATATTACAGAAACGAGGAGGTTTCCATTATCAATAAACAAACACACACCCAAATCTGTCAATTGATATTACTCTGATTTTCCCATTTCATATATTGCCTTACTAAATAGCATACTAGTAATCTTCCAGACCTTTAAAAATTCCATGTCATTTTTCGAAAACATCAGTGTTGCATTAAATGCATTAGTGAGTTGACATTGAAAACTGTAAGTTTGTACCTCATTTAATAGTTTTAAAAAATGGAACAAAACATATATCTTTCTTTTATCAATAATTTATTTTTTGTCTAGAATATACGTGTATACATATATAATATTCATAATCAATGCTTGTTTTTTCTATATTCATAGATATAAGATGTGGTATGAGTGCCAATGAGACAACTCTCCATCCAAGTCACATCATGACAATCCAGATTTTGAATTTGATATTAATATAAAATCTTTGACTTTAACGTTTACTAATGCCCAAGTCTATCTGTATGGGATCTTTATTGAACATCACTGCACTTCAACTATGTACTTTATTTGGCCTTTCAATTGTTTTGGTTCGAGCGTCACTGATGAGTCTTTTGTATACGCGTCTGACGTACAATTTTTAAGCCCGGTATCTTTGATGAGTTTAATGACACAATATTCTACAAAAATTATGGGCAATTCAGTTACTATTCCAGCAATATTTCCAAATTGTTATAAAAAGCGACTAATAGGATTTGAATAGATCAATAGTTTCATATTGTTTTAGACCCCACGTGTCCCTTATTATCTATCTGTTATCATGGTTCCTATTCCGACACTTGCAGCTGCACATGTTTCGAAAAACACTCGCAATGCATTCATAGCTAGTAATGCCTATACTGCTGTTGTACCGAATCTCATTCGGTTGGGACTTCATGCAAATTCAACTGTTTTTAAACCTCATGTGTCTGCTTGTTTATGGATTTTTGTGATTTGTAATGACTTCGGTACACGTTCCTCATTTTTGTTTGCACAAACTAATATAACATTCTTGGCATTAAAAAAAAAAGTAGCGGTACAATTAAGATGGTAAAACAATTCAGAAATATCCACTTTCTGTTATACAATCTTTCAATTTTCAAATAAAATTAATATTACAAAAATCAACCCTGTTCTTCGCAATTTGTTATCCACAACAGCTAAACAAGTTGAATGCTTAAATGTATTTTTCTCTCACGAGATATCTTATACTTTCGATCTTTGGTCATAATACATATTATGCAGCTTTCATCATAGATCGATATACCTCTCCAAACATTTTCATCACCACCTGATTGTTTATCATATTCCATACGAATTGTTCCCTGTTAAGTTCAAGACATCTAATTCTTTCTTTGAGTTGCTTGTTTTCCTCTACTAATTCCCGTATTTCCTGTAAAGAAAAGAAATTTCCTACATTTGACCTCAATGGCATGATAACCTTTCCAAATCTTTCGGGATAAAATCAAATATTAAAACCGAATATTGTATGTACATCTTCTCGAAACCATTTTTCCACGTTAGAGTATCATTGTACAACGTTGATTGCTTTGCTTTCAAGAATCGAAGCTTTATTTGTCAGATTTTACTAATTCCAATTTCTTACAATGGTTGTGCTTGAAAAGGATGATATTAGTATTGCAGAAATATATAATTTGTGTATTAAGATTCTTTTATCATTTCTCCTGTGTGATTTCTTACCTTTGTTGGTTTTTTGTTGTTGTTAGTTTTAAGGAAATCTTTTTCCTATCAAGTGTGCACCGAGTTCAATCATGCTTTTGTTGCTCTTGCTATAAAGTTTGAATATATCTAATTCTAATAATATTTTTTTATTACCTCTTGTAAAAGACTCGTCACCTGTCTTTTTCTTTGTCGACACTTTCTTGCTGCAATTCGGTTTCTTTCTTTTCTTACAATTTGTTTTTCACGTTCCACCTTTGTAAGCTGTAAGAATAAGAGCCTTTTTGAGATACCATATTAATTTTTGTAAAGTTTCAACGTGTACATTTAATTTGCCCACTATTTTGAAAAATAATAAGCTGCTACAAAAATAAGAATTTTTTATTAGGATTCAATAACCTATAAATGAAAAAAAAAATGATGAGATTCCCGTAAAAACATGTTACATGACGTTACAAGATTGAACCGTCATTCTTTTTTTTTTAATAAATCTTGCTTAAAACAGAAATGGGAAAAATTGATCAATTGTTTCATTTGTACTAGAATTCTTCAATTTTCTTTAATTTTCAAACAATTTTTGTTTTTCTTATTTTTCTTAATGCTAGTGGTGATTTTTCCGCTCGTTCATTGACTAGCTAAAGAAGTAGTACAGTCATATAAGAGGCGGCAGTAGTTTACCAAAGTTCGAACCTCAAAACCAACCAAAAGAAAATAATCTGAGGGAAAAACACGAACCATAAACGGATGAGACCGAGTGCCTCGCCAGCACCGTCACAAGGAAAGGTACACAATTAGTAAATTTCATATCAAAATGACAGCGACCTGATACTGACAAAATGTTTCATTTTTATTCTACGGAGGAGGATTTCTTTTTCTTATAACGAAATAAAGTAATGCATATGGATTTAAATCGATTTTAAATGATTTTGTGGATGTGTAAAATCCGGCACTTTATTTACAGATATGAATCCAAACTGTACTCAGTTTGTGAGTGTCTGAAAAATATATGACGTTAACGTCTACAAAATCGTGTTTTATGCTTTAGTTCAATACCTGTCATGTGATTCAATCCAAACTTATGACTTGTTTCAGTGTCATTGAGCAATACCGGTTAAAAACTAGGTTGGGCGGAAATGACCATTATAAAATATAACATGATACACTTTAATAGTAAATTGAGACAGATAAGATAAAACAGATAAAAAAAGCTCTAAATATTTTACAACGATTGTTTCCCCTTTATACAATGAATGAACATTTTTTTCAATAGAGAATCATTACCTCTCTTGAGTTAAAATAATTCCTAGGTCCGAAACCTATCAACGCTTCTTATTTTTTAATTGAAATATAAAAGCTATAATCACAAAAACTATGTATCTATATATACATTAAAAATAAATATTTGTATACTTACTATGGTTGGCCGTTTTTCTGTAAAATCTGCCTGAAGCTGCTGAAGACCTTGAGATAAACGTTTCCGTTGAATTTTACATCTGAGTTCAGCTTTTATAAAAGGAAGAACTGGTTTCCTGGTCGAAGTACAATTTGCTTGATTTACACTATCGTCATCAGATGTAAGATGTAATGATGGTGAATCCATTTTCATGTATTTTGCAACTGAAATGAAACAGTAGCGGTCTTATTTACAGGGAAAAGAGTAAGCAAAGATCAAAGGTCAATCTAATCAAATTCAACCAACCAAAGAAAGAGAGACAACAGCATGACCAAAAGAAAAGACATAAAGGCAAACAGTCAACAATTTTAACACAGAAAAACCAAAGATTTTTGAGGAACACAAACCCTACTGAAACTGAGGCTGAACTCAGGAGCAGCGGAAGGACAAGTAGTTCCAGTAGTACCCGTCATATTGATCATGACTAGTGAAACTCCCTGGGATAAGGGGACGATTTATTTTATTTTCCGGGGGGGGGGGGGGGGGGGGGGGGGGCTGGAGGATTTGAAAATGTACATCCTGGTCTGGTAAGAGAAGGAATAATTTTGTCTTAAACAGGGAGAAAAAAATAAGGATGTATAGCAACAGATGAAAATGAATAGTCAATTCGCAAACAATCCCCCTATAATAACAAATGGTTGTCACATCAGTGGCAATCGCTGATGTCATCAGCAAAATATGGAAAGGACACGAGATTGTGGCTGCGACAAATAGAACACAGGTAATCTAGAACGGCCAACCAAATCATCCGTAAATCTTTTAAGATTGAGCAACCTTTCTTTCAATACCTTCCTAAGCTTACAATAGAAAAATCAAAGTATTGTTTTTAATTCTAAACTGCTCCTCACTTTAAAGGTTTTAGGTATAAGTCAAGATATAAACCGAACCTAACAGTATCTGTGGTTCCCTTTATTTCAATAGGTAAGATGCGATCAACATATTAACCAAATTTTGAAATATTCAGTGAAAGGACAGCATATATACAGTGATAAGAGAGGTTATACGCTAATGCTATGATTCATTTACCAGTGATATTGGTAATGATTTTTTATATTTCTTTTTGATATTGGCTATGATCTGATTCCAAATAGTATATTTAGGGGAAACTTGAAAATTCTGCCTAAATCTCTTCTTTTGAAATATTTCCCCAAAAGATATATATGCAACTGCAGTAACTTACACAATAAAATAGCTAGTAGATATAATTCATACGACGTTCCAGAGCTTTCATTTTCTATCATGATTTCCTTGATAGAGGGTTGCTGCTACAAGGAAGCTATTGAACCAAGAGTTCGATCGGTGAAGTTGAAATCGTCCCTTCGAAAATTTCTATCTCGTCCTCTATTCCTTGAATGTGGCCTATCGGATTAGACTTATCACCGGGTTTGTACTTACATGAGCAACACGACAAGTGCCACATGTGGTGCAAGATCTGCTTACCCTTCCAGAGCACATGCGATTCCCCACCCCTCCCCTCTTCAATTTTTTGTGGTGTTTGTGTTTCTTAGTCCTTAGTTGTTTTCGACTTATGAGTTAGATTATCCCTTTGGTATCTTTCGCCTTTCTCTTCCAACCATGTTGTAATTTTTATGTCTTTTAAGCTGCAATCATCGTGACATTACAGTTGTTATCTTGCTATTAATTAGTCATATAATAATTAGCAATTTTTATACACCGCATTTTAATTAAGATTCATTTGTGTATAGCTGAAAATTGGGAGGGTTGATGACGTACATATCACACAAATTCAACACTTTACCAAAAAGCATCCAAACAATATAGTGGTTTCGTGTGTAATCGCTCATCAACGATAAGATAGTTATTCGAAGATATTCTAAGCAGTAAGTGTAAAGCCAAAAATCTGCGTATTGCCTTTTATTTATCATATTCTCTTCATTATCAAAAAAAAATTAAAAGACAAAACGAAAGGGAGGATAATCTATATCACATGTTGAGCTTATATATATAATAAAGGAATAAATAGAAAGATTGTTTTTTTCATTTTGAACTTTATTTAACACAGAATAAAACATTTACAAATAATTATTTCGGACATCTATAATAAAGCTTTGCTTACCTGACAGTTATTTACATTACTGATAAAAGTATGAAATATATAATTATTATCGGAGGCTTACCTAATGATGAATAATACCATTGTCTGAGTAACTAAACCTATGAGTACTGATTATTAATGCATAGTTGAATGGAATGTAAAACTTATTCTAGCATTCAAAAATTAATGACACATTTTTAGCGATGCTTTGATATCATCGATGGATTTGATAAACCATGCTATGTCACATTCGGTTCATGTTATAAATATAGTGAATAAATACTATAATTAGATATTGGATTTTTTATGCTGGAAATAGATCAGTTATTGATAAAGCAATAATTAAGTGTTGACATGATGAACTATATTTACACTTAACGGAGATAGTGATGCCTTTGTGTATTATTTCATTATCATAAGTAAATAACCCGCACATAATACAAAATACACAATTCTGACTATTTTTTACCATTTTTATATCTCATTTGCAACGTATTCCAAGAATTATATGGAACCGTAAATCTTAACAAAACTATTACTGAAGATATCATAAAACAATATGCTATACAAATCATCACAAAATGTGTAATAAAATAGACATCATTCTGTTAACAACAACCATATTTATGTAAAACTATTCAAAACAATATTCAGAGATCTTCCATTAAAAAAAACAAGATCCAAAGTGCGCTCAGATCATTCTTTCAGGAACATTTTTTAGTTTAACCGCCTACCATCTTGTAATTGGCTTGTACTAATTACCTTCGTCCTGAATATGCATGAAATATTTGCCACTGGACGTTAAGCAACCAACAATCAATCAATGTACTAATTACCTTTTCAGTAATTTTGATTATATCTAAAATTATAGTAGCTGCATGTCTTAAGAAAAATGAGTGGTTCAAAAAAGAAACTATTTGCACACTTTGGATAATGTTTGAGAATATGGATTTTCACCGTAAAAAATTAACAACAAATAGCTGCATAGATCATTTGATTATTTCACGAATGTAGCATAACAGTACAAAACACTAACAACTAGTAATCAAATAATTTGATTTTTCCCTGAATTATATGTCTGAAAATATGAATATTCCTTCATGAAAGCACTTATGGGTCACACTCTCAAACGTGCACTAACTCAGTTCTGTACATATATAATCTCCTGTTTGATATCAGTCAAATTGTTGTCAAATGATTTTGAGAAGTCTGATAACACTTCCGATATTACTGGATGTCTTAGAATGTTTGACAAGAAAAATTCCTTTTCGGCCTCAATACAGCGAATGCTTTCTTTTAAATGTTTATTTTCGTCCATTAATGACTTCAATTCCTGAAAAAAAGAAAAAAAAAAACATTGTATATATGTCACAGTAATTTGTAATATAAAAACTTAATTAATGTACACAAGAATCACACGGCATCATTTTATCTACATGTATTTTAACAGAGCTCTTGTCGTCTATCGGCGTGTTATTTAATTACTGTCTTCACTAAAGAACATTAAACCAGCAAGCTCGAGTACATCACACACCCCATATAACGTTTTTGGAATATTTCTAAATACCCCTCCCCAAAAAATGGTTCTCCAATTCAGATTTTTCTGATTTTTGAAATCATCCAATGTAATGATGAGTGAAAACGTTCATACAAATTCAAAGACGATCTGATGAAACAAATAAAGGCGCTATCTCACGGAGTTCTTTATTGTTTTGTGTTTCAAGTAATTCAATTATGATACAGTATCTTGTGTAATGATGACCCCAAAACAGGTCACTGTCATAAATGTTAGTTCAAGAGTTAATGCTGAAATTGTTTCCATAGTTTTTGCAGAAATGCCATTATTAAGGATCTTTATTTTTCCATTACAGATATAGTGAATGAAATAATATAATGTCTTTTATTACATGTAAGTCAACCAGACCACTAATATATGAAATTGCTAATTACCTGCTGTATGTTTTGATAATTTATCTTTTTCTTCCGTCGACATTTTTTTGCTGATTCCCTGTTCAGAAGTTTTCTGTTTTCTTGTTTTTGTTTTTCTTCAGTTGTCAGCTGTAATATCAATAACATGAAAAATTTAGCTTATGTTATTTCTTTATAAATAAAAAAAAAACTGTTTGCATTTCTTTGCCTATAATTGTTTGGCTGTATATGAAAGCAAGAAGAAAATCAGAAAACAGATTTTTTTAATCTAAAAATGAAATGACGCAATTAGCGTAAAATGTGTGAAATCCTAATAAACGGAAGGTATACGACACTCCAAAAAAATCAAAACGAAATTCTAAATTTGTCTTATTATTCTAGATATTCCTTGTTTCGTTCGGTTGTTGTCTGTTTGACCTCTACCCCACATCTCCATACGATCTTTTGCACATACATGCAAGGAGGGGGGGGGGGGGGGGGGATCCAGGATTTTTGAAAGGGTGTTTAATTCCATAAAACGGATTATACACTGTTATATAAACTTTTTTGGGTGAATTTATGCTACAAAAATCATATAAATAGTGAATAACATGATATAATTATTTTTTGGGGCGTTCAAAAGGGGGGGGGGGGGGGGCGTACGCCCTCGACGCCCCCACCCCCTGGATTCGCCACTGATATGTATATGAAACCACCGAGAGAATACATGGTCAACCAAGTTAAAAACAAATAAACAGTTATTAGTGTTTATTTTCCACTTACAGGTGCTGGTGGCTTCATTTGGAAATCTACTTTGAGTTCTTCCATTCCCCGAGAAAGTCGTTTGGTCTGTATTTTACAACGTAATTCATCCTTTATCAAAGGTAGCAGAGAATCACCCTTCACAGACTCCAAAGCATAATTAAAAAGTTCTGTATCAAAGTTAAAAGCATCAGACGGTAGACGAAATGACGTTGTTTCACCTTCCATTTTCATACTTATGATCTGCAATTGAAAACAACAATATCATTAACTGTTAATGATAAAATAAAATTATATAAATAATGTTTTTAATCTTTGATAATGATAGTAATAATAAAAAAACGCGGAAGTCAGAATGTTAAAATTTAAAATACTTTTTTGGGCTATAATTATTAAGCAAAGATAAGAAACTTAGGAATCTATCTCCTTATTCTATTGTTGATAACCCGAATTAAACGACAAAAACAAATAATAGTAATAATAATGATAGTAATAATAATTATTAGTATAATGATAGTAAAAGTTTATCAATTATAAATTTAAAATGATCGTGATGATTTTATTTAGTTTCATACCTACTTTATTCGTTCTCCTTCAATGACGACTGTTTCAAAAATGTTTAAACAGAGCGGGACACGTGGTTCTTAATGAATCACTTCATACACATGTGTAGGCATAAACTGTAGCACGTAGTTTTGTAAATGGCTAGTCCTCCTGTGTTTAGTTCCTAATAAAGCTCTAAATTGTTCGAAGAATAAATTCTGACTGAAATTGTCATCTGATGTAAATACTATAAACTATTACAAAATTGAAACCGACGTCATGTTTATCACAGTGGTTCGTATAATTTTGTAAAAATCCTTCCTTCACGACAAAATGCTCGGCAGATTTAACGTACTCTTCGTGGAAAAATAAACGTAAATATGGTAGTCAAAGGATAGTAGGTAAAAATATATCTTACCGTATTAATTACCTGGAGAAGGAACACAATCTATAGGATATCTATTAATACATAGGTGATTTCCGCTTGCTATATATATATACATGAACCATAATGAACACTTCGGTTTCAGGAAGACGACAATACTGCGGTTTGAAAGGATTCATAATCCCGTATAACAAACGCGTTTAAATTTAAACCTTTAACAGTTACTTTATTTCATATCTAAATATAAACTTATCATTAGTGCTTTTTTTTTCTTCAACGTAAATCACAATATACTTTTGACGAGTATGTAAAGGTTGATTTGACTAGATGTTCTATCTTTTTATTGCATAATTCTAAGATATTTAACACAGGCATTTTCTATTCGTGTCATTGTAACAACTTTTTACTTTAAAATGGGTCATTATTTCAGTAATTTTGCTTTTAATAGTTAGTTATTTATAAAAAAGGGAATTTCTGTTTTCTAAAATAACTAGCTGCATGACATCAAAGGTCGTATGACAAAAACACCCATTGTTTATTATGATTAGTCACTCACACTTCATGTGTAGACAAGCATAAGCTTATTCTTTCCATCCGTGTGTTCCTTTACGTTTCCGATGGTATCACAAGTACGTAAACTTAAATTTTCGCGAATTTTTTTGAGGTAAAATTATCGAAATATTCTTCTAGAGTGGGTGCTATGTAGATATCTCGCTGAGGACTTTACTCGTGCTTTGCAAATTTTAAGGGGGACACGCCCGCCACGCCCCCGCCTGAATCCACCCCTGATGCTCTTTTCCGCGTGAAAAAATTAAGGATACCATTTGTTTATTCTTTTTCTTTGAACATTGTTGCATGTATTATCAGCCGCCTAAAAACGTTTACATAAATATACTGAAGGTTTTATCAAATTATTACTAAGAAAAAAAGTAAATGTTTTGAAAGTGATGGACAAATATAAAAGGGAGGGTAACCCAGTTAGTTGGTTAAAAAGATCGGTAGTTTTAATGTACTGTTTATGTAGGGAAAAGAATGTAAGCTGTTACATGTAGTAGTCCTAATACTGATAACAATCTTAAATTATCACCAACTTCCGTGGTAAAATATTTGACTGGTTCTTTCAACACAATAATATAGTGTATATTAACTTTTCATTTTAAAAACAGCCTTAATCTTTCAATTATAGATAAACTCGTCATAGATACTAGGACTAATTTTTTTTACGCCAGATGCGCGTTTCGTCTACAAAAGACCCACCAGTGACACTCGAATCAAAAAAGTTAAAAAGAGCAAATAAAGTACGAGGCTGAAGAGCATGGAGAACCCAAAATAGCGAAAGGTTTTGCCAAATTACTCATTATAGAGTGACAAAGAGATAGTTCTGCAGAAACTGATAATGATTTTGTGATACAGGTGACAGGCATGTAAAAGGAATATTTAATATATGAAGAATGAATGACTAGGCAAGTGTGTCTGCAAATAGATACTGCACAGTGCATGGCTGGACGTTATTGGAAAATGATGTATTTTATGGGAATATTCAGTAAATAAATATAGCAGTTCATTAGATATCAAGGATTGCCAATATTGGGGAGAGCTTCTGGATAACACTGAATACATGTGCTCCATTAATTGGAAGATTATGTTTGTAATAAATATTTAATATTAGATAGATCAAAACTATGGTTAAAACATTAATACAAATAAATGCTGAATGCAATTTATTTTTTACTACAAGATTGTCAAGTAGTGTAAGAATTTAGTGCGAATCTACAGTGCTTGTTAACAAGACCCTGTGAATGGCCCACAAATGCCGCATGACCTCATGTTTTGATTATTGCAAAAGCTGGGGCTACATTTGTACTTCAATGAATGATATATGAAAGCTTCTGATATCTAAAGTTAAACCAGGTATAAATTTAATTCAAGAAATAGGTTTGCATTGAAGTAAATGAGAGATTTTTGTACGGAATTTACCCCTATAGGAAAAATATGCACCCTGTCACTGTACCTTGTAAGGCCACTCAATAACCCCTGAGCCCATTTCCTGTAAATATTAATGCAATGAGAAAGCTTTTAGGAAACTGTTAATGTTGTTTTTCATGTAACAAAAAAGGACTAAGTAGACTGTTGGACGAGGCAATGGGGCCATGGAAAACAAAATATAACAATGGAAATATTTATTAACCAATTTGAAATTTGCATTTAAAAAGGGGAGCTAACACCCCATTTAAGTTATATTAAACTTATGCTAACTTGTAGAATGTCTAAATATAGATGTGAACCGTGTGGATATAATCATTTCCAACTATTATAGAATAAAAAAGACAAAATACGAAATTATCTGTATGAAATTCCGTTGATTTATTGTCAAAACGTAAAACAGACAGTCGTTTTACTAGAAATGGGCTAAGCTAGAGAAATTATAAGAAGAAGTAGATTCGGAAACGATATTCAACTTGAGACTAACGCCGCTCGTTGATTATCGTTTACGAATCCACAACTTCTTATAAATTCTCTAATACATAAATCACTATTATAAATACTTCCCTTTCAGAGTATTTTCAGCAGTGTCTTCTATCTTAACCCGCAGATAAAGTTGTGAATAAGGACTTTTTAAGTGTTCCAACACTAGAATAATCTGACGGTAAGAAGATATAGTATTTCACTACATATATCATTGAGTTTCTTTAATTCAAAAATATTCCGGAACATTTTTCAACCATTTATACATACCCTTCATCTATTAAACTGTTGTTTAAATGTATGTATTTGGATCGCTATGTCAGCTAATTTGCTACTGGGTTTGTTATTGACAGTGTTTGAACTACTCAAGTATTAAAAGCACATCTTTAGTGAAGTGAAACATATTTTTTTTGCACGAAACTCCTTAAAAAGCCTTTTTTCTCAAGACATATAATAAAAATTTTTTTAAGAATCTTGTATTGACACTGAAACTTGAAAATTGGTTAAATTACATGACCAATACACAAAAAATAGGAATGAAGAAAAAATGTCTCTTTTCCTTAAGTTTTTTACATAAACTATATGGCTATCATTTTTTTTAATTAGAAAAAAATTCAATTTTTAAACTTGATGCTCCACAGAACCTGTATTCCCTATAAATAAGAAGATGTGGCAAGAATGCCAATGATACAACTATCCATCCAAGTCACAATGTGTAAAAAAATAACAATGATAGGTCAAAGTACGGCCCTCAGTACGGAGCCGTGGCTCACACCAAACAGCAAGCTATAAAGGGCCCCAAAATGACAAGTGTAAAACAATTCAAACAGGAAAACCAACGGTCTAATCTATATAAAAAACGAGAAACGAGAAACACTTATGAACCACACCAACAAACGACAACCACTGAACATCAGGCTCCTGACTTAGGACAGGTGCATAAAAATGCAGCGGGTCTAAACGTTTAAACAACCTTCACCATAACCTGAAACAGTGGTGTAACATTACAACATAAAAAGACACACAATAAAATATCAATCGAAATGGCTTAACTCGATCAAAAAGACATACACCAAAACAAGTAAATATACACTGAACGAATAAGTTTGATCTATGAGACAATATAAATAAAAAAGATGTATCAATGTCGAAAAGACAACTTTAACCTAGGACAAAATGGCGTTAAATAAAGTAACATACACAGGTAAATTAGTATATAATAACTTTGTTGTTAGGAGTACAGAAACATTTTTTACAAAATAAATTTGTTGTTCATAGTACGAGTACAGAAGTGAAAATTTATCGTCATACTAATTAATTATCAAAGGTGGTATATATTAAAAATAGTAAGACGATATATAACACAAAATAAGTAAACATTAAATAACAGAAATGCATTACAAATTGTGTCAACAGGTCAAATTAACACGAAAGTACGATTTAAGAGTATTCACAGTTACTGAAAGCTAGTTGAAAGCCAGAAACAATTAATAACAAAAAATCATGCATCAGAGACTAAAATTAATTAAAACACATCCCAGGCAGGAATTTTGCGTTTTAACGCCATGGACAGTCATAGAAGACATGACTAGTGCAATGCCAAAATAAAAGTAACGACATGCAGTAGGATAGTTAGGATTTAACCTTATAATAAATATGTATGATGTTCTATATAGATAAAAACAATCTCTAAATAGAAAATAAACGTGGATATGATATACACATCCCAAAAAAACGAAAAGACTACAAATTTAGTTATGTTTTAATTTGTTAATGACAAAATCGATGTTAGAGCCAATGAAAACAATATTCAAAGATCTGATTACCACATTAATAAGATAACCTTTACTAATAAGTTTGTTGAAAGGTTCGGTAAGTTTACACGGATCACATAGTGATTCCCCCGTTGTTTTGTATTAAACTGATACAATGCAACAACAATATCTGTGAAGCATTGAAATTTTTGTGGATCAAAATCTTTTTTTTTGTGATCATTTGTGCGGGGCAGTTGTTGTCTATCCAAAGTTATAGACAAAAAAGTGAAAAAAATAGGTTCATACTGTGATGTAGGGAAAAACAACTCCTGTAAGGAAACGGTTTGCAATTGGAATCGTTCAGACTAATTTGTAGCCCTAGATATTTTATTTTTTAATCATTTTTGCTGTTTACAATTTTGTTCTATTTACTCAACCTAAAATCCGTCACAATTGCCACCAGAGGAAAAAAACTCTTATAAGGAAACGACTGTAATTTACGCCATTTTGGCTATATTTAGATCATATATTGCTGATCAGTTTTGCTCCATCTACTTTGAATTGATAGTAACAATAGTTACATCAAAATTGGATAGAATTGTCATTTAAGGGCAATAACTCATATATGCATCGATTGAATATTTCGGCCATGATGGTTTATTTGTTGCCACATGTAGAGCTGATCTGCTTACCCTTCCGGAGCACCTGAGCTCACCCCCAGTTTTTTGTGGGGTTCGTGATGCCCAGTCTTTAGTTTTCTGTGTTGTGTTTTGTGTGCTGTA